TGGCACTGCAGAGCCAAGCTTGGCCTCTCAAGCCATTTGGAAAACACCCGAAGCCCAAGAAGGCACTTTGGGAGTTGCTCGCCCCCCCCAACCCACCCCAAGCCAAACCCACCCCAACACCCAACCCCCCCCAAACCCCCCCCCCCCCCCCCGAAAACCCGCCCCCCGCCCTTCCCACCTGGACTTGGAGCTGGATGCCTGGCTTCTCACCTCAGCCAACGGAGCTCATTTCCTTCCTCATGAAAACTCTGCAACTTGACCTGGGAGATCATCTTGTTGCGAAACCGGTAGGGAATGAGACGTGGAAGGAACCCAGGAACTGGTCCCCGAAGAAAGGAAACCACGTGAAACCACCAGTTGGATGGTTTTTCTCGGGGTCATTCCAATTCTCACTCCCTGCCGATTTTGCACCGGCAAGTCATGTCTGGAGGAAAAATCCATGACTCAGATGCCCAGTGGCCATGAGCAAGAATGGCATCTTTGTTTGGTTGCCCTTCCCCCACAAGAAGAAAGAGAAACGGCGCCGCTGGTTGCAACCGGGTCAAGCTGCAGACTATTCCCACCCGTTTCAGCCTATGCCTTGCCGACAAGGGATCGAGTTGCGCCATCTACTTTCACGCCGGCGTTTATGTTGGGGTTTGCTTCGGCTCATGTCAGCCGGGACTTTCCCAGACCTTTGCTACAGAAACCCGGCTGTTCAACAGGGGTGGGCAACATTTAAATTGTGGCTTTCTGTTGGCTTCCCTTTCAAACCAACCAACAACGTGGTCTTTTTTGGCACCTGACAGGAGGTTGGGACGAGACTGCGAAGACATAAGTGGACTGGAGCCAACCATTTTCTGGGTTTGAGACAAACCATAAACCCAAATGAGCAGACTTACCGAGATGGTACCACGCGGGTGGCGGGGGGGGGGGGGCATTGAGATTCTGGCAAAAAGTCGATTCCATGTAGTTCCCTTCTGAACCCTGTTTCTTTCAATGAACCTGCTTTGCATGAACCAAACACATACAATGGAAGTCACAAAAGAGGTGTCGAGTTGAATTCTGCCCAGGTGACATCCCCTCCCCAACAACACTCCCCCGGAACCCTTTCCGAACACTTCCCAACTGTAGCCCGCGACTCCGCGGAGCCCAGCGGTTGAGGAAAAAAAACTGGGTCCGAACAGCTGAACACAACAGATGGGACATCCCCTCTCCAACAACTGCAGCCCATCGCTTTCCACCCGCTGAACACAGCCCGCTTTCCACCCGAGAGCGCGACACCCACGAAGCTGAAACTTGGGCCCCGGACCGAGGGCGCCGGGGTGGCCCGAAGCTGCGGCGCACCTCAAGGCGACGGACGTGAACTTTGCTCTGAGTTGGTCTGGCTGGCTTGCTGTCTTGCTGTCTTGCTGGCCGGTTGGTTGGTGGGTTGGTTGGTTGGTTGGTTGGTTGGTTGGTTGGTTGGTTGGTTGCTTGGTTGGCTGGCTGGCTGGCTGGCTGGCTGGCTGGCTGGTTGGTTGGTTGGTTGGTGGGTGGGTGGGTGGGTGGTTGGTTGGTTGGTTGGTTGGTTGGTTGGTGGGTGGGTGGGTGGTTGGTTGGTTGGTTGGCCGATTGGTTGGTTGGCTGGCTGGCTGGCTGATTCTTGTGTTTGCCGGAAGCCCCCCGCTGCCCCAATCTCACCAACAAGGAGACTCCGGTCCTCAAACGATGTCAAGTTCCTGCAAACACACTGATGCATTGGGGGGGCTCATGTTTATATTGAAGAGTGTAAGAGCTCTTCAGGAGTCATGGCTGACCATCTATCTCTGGAGGCCACGCCATCACAATGCCAATGCTGCAAAGTTCTCACAAGCTATGATGGCATAGGAAAGACTTGTGAAATCTTCAAACAGTCTGCCTCAGGATCAAATCAAATCTTTTCAATCTGAAAACCATCCGTAGTTAAATGACGTAAGATAGTTTACTTTGAAACTATACAGAGTTACATTTGTATACTTATTCCATTGAAACAAAGAAGTAAACAAAAAAAAGAGAGAGGAAAACAAAAGATGAAACAAAGGGAGAGAAACACGCCGCCAGCCCTTGCACGGCGTCGGCAGTGCTTGCTTCCGAACATCGCGAATCTCGATCTCTGAGCCGGAAACTGCTGGAGTTCTCCATGACCTTCGAGGAGCGGGCGCCGGGGGCCACATTGGGAGAGTTACTCGTCCGGCTCGGTGCCCGGCTCGGTGTGGAAAGTGCATTGGTTGTAAAATTTGAACCGGGTCATTCTCTGGCTTGGCTTGGTGTGAATGGAAAGTCGTCCATTGGATAACTTAGGCTGGAAATACCCGCCCCCGATCCGAGCGGATGAATGTTCAGGCTAGGCACCTTTTGGGGTCTCTCCCCTTTAACCCCACGTAACACATCCTATTTGAGTCAACTGCTTGAAGGTTGCAGTCACTGCGCAACGCCGCACTGTCAAAGTCAAGAGAGAATGACCGTTTCAAATGTAGCGATGTCAAGGCAATCGACCCCGGACCTTTGGTTTCATATTCGTTCAAAAAGGAGGCCCTGAGTGTGGACAAGTTTTCCAGATTCCACTACTGCAATTGGAAGTCTCCTGTGGCGCATCAGTACCATTTTCCGGCAATTTGGTGAGTGTACCCAATGTCGTTCCTTTGACCGAAGAATCTTCAAGATTGCTCTTTTGCTCCTCATAATGTTCTGATGAGATGCGCATGTTCATGCAAATACCAGGGAGTAGAACCCAAGCCAAGATGGGCGAATCACAGACCACAATTGTCATTGCCCTAAAAAGATAAAACCAACATTGTCTGAGTCACAATCAAAACCCGGTATTAAAATGGTTGACCCAGAACCATGCTTCAAGAAATACGAAGGCGGATATCCGCAACTATTTATGGCAAGGGGATTGTCCCTCTGCTAACCTTCACCAATCCCCAGGTGTTGATTGTGGCTCATACCGAATAGCAGCCCAAGACGAATCCCGATCCTGAGGTCTTGAGGTCCTGAGGTTGTGAGGTTGCGAGTTCTCTTCTGGTACAACATGGGCTGAACAGTTCGCACGGAAAGTTGGGCTGTGAATTGGGGGTTGATCAGAAGTTCCAAAAAAATGGGATGACCATTGGAAAACCCCACTAGAAGATCCTATTTCCCGCTAAACTTGAGGGCAAGCCAGGTACCCCACAACCCATTCTAGAAAGATCAAGACCTCTGCAGCCCAAGACGTGGCGATTCCATGCATTTGCAAAATCCACTTCGCGCCAGTTGGCATGGATGAAACCCACTGGAAAATGGGGCAAAGCACCCTTAGGGCAGGAGTTCGGCCCCAATGTTTGATTTGGAGGCAAAACCTCAATGGGGAATGGCGAGGGGGGGGGGGGGTCTTTTTTTGAGGATGCCCTTGTTTGGGGTGGTTTTAAAGGAAACCACCAGGCAAACCGCCATTTTGGGGAGGTCCAACCTGAAAGACGACACGCCCCGACACCTGCCGGTCCCTCGCGCGCCTTGGACGGACGGATCGTCCTCACCTGTTGGAGGAATGGACAGCCGAGCAAGGAAGCAAGCAAGGATCCAACAAACGAACCAACAAACCAACGAACGAACGAACGAACGAGCAAACCGACCAACCAACCAACCAACCAACGAACCAACCAGCTAGCCAGCCAACCAGCCAACCAGCCAACCAGCCAACCAACCAGCCAACCAACGAACAAACCAACCAAAGGAACAAACGAACAAATAAGGGACGACCTCATCACGTTGGGAAACGAGCAGCAAGTGCTGAGACCTCCCCATCTGCATTTGAAGGATAAGTGAGCAACCTGAGAAACCAGGTGGCCCGCCCAATTCCCCAGAGGAAATTGGTCGTCCAGGTATCTTCCCTGTGCTACCACTGTCCATCAGGCACAAATAATGAATCAATCCATGGCTCTTCATGATAATTGAAATCGAAGGCGCCAGGAGAGGTTGGCCAAAGAAGTCTGAGGCCCAAAATGATTCGGGACTGGAATTGAGACAGCAATCGGGTCTGGGGATCTATTGCCTAATTTGATGTCTCAAAATGGGCCACCGCGCCTCGGGAACAACTTACACCCTACACCCAAAACGGGTCAAAAGAAAAGGGGGGCACCAACAATTCTCGGCTGGCGTTTAAAGGGAAGCCCCGCCTCTGCCTAAAGGACCTGGACAATTTCCGGGCTCACGGGTTCACCTGAGTTGGACCGTGACGCTGGTTACCACAGAAACTCAAAAAGGTTTGAAGCTCGGGTTGGAGTAAGCATCCTCAAGTCCTTATCGGCTACTCGCTGGCAACTCAGAAAGGGAGCGTTGGGTTTCGGAGTGACACGCGTCCCCTGCCTCATCGAGGCGGCCAGTGGACGCTGTATCCGCCCTGCGGGGGCCAAAGTGGTGGACAACGTGGACGTGGCCGCGTCTTCAAATCAAAGACCCCCCCTGAGTTCGGTGGCTTCCCAAAAGCCCCCCGCTGAGTCCCATCCCCATAAGCCCATCCCCAAAAGCCCCCCGCTGATTTGAGTGGCTTCCTTCTGGCTTCCCCCCAAAAGCCCCCTCCCCCGTGACTTGAGTGGTTTCCCCTTTCGGGTGGAAACCAAAAGGCCACCAGAACTCACAAGTGTCTTCTGGGTTTTGTGCGATCCTGGAAAACAAGTGGGTTTGAAGAGGGCCCCGAGCCTCAAAGAAGAGACTCATTCGGCTGCGTGTCCCTCCCGAGGATATACCCATTTCCCAGAAAGCCAACAAAAACTCACACACCAACGCATCTTTAGGCAAAAAGTCACGAACCTAAGAAACGGCGACAGCTCAGCTGCCCTTTGGAGAAATAGCTAGCAATGGTACCTGACTCGAAGTGGAATCCAGTTGCTTTCGACCAATCCTGATCATGTTCAAGTGTCCCTGAAGAACCAGTGGCTACAAGGCAACCCTGCATCTGAGCGCCCCAAAGTCTAAACATGTGGGAGGGGCGGCCCCATCAACGAATCCCCCGAACCCGAAACCGAGCGGCCCCGTGGCCTCGGGCGGAGATCCCAAGGCGCACACCCGGACTCCCAGGATTTCGCGAAGGATTTTTTTTCGATTTTCTTTTCTTCCTCCGCGCGGCGGGAAGGACGTCGCGTCGCGGGACGCGAGCTACGGCTCGTCCGCCGGGCAGCGGGTGGCGACGAGCAGGTAGCCCTGGCAGGTCTTTCACTGGCTTCGCGCGAAGCGGAGCTGGAAAACTGGGCTCAGCCTGGTGTTCCTGAAAAGGAGCCAAAGAATTGTCGTCACTTTCCTGGTTTCCAATTTGGGGTGGGCCAACCACTCTTTTGGAATCCTGGGCCTTGCGCCCACGCGGAAAAAGCGCCGCCTGGATTGCTCACATTTATGCCTTTGGTTGCTTTCATGCACCTTTTTTTTATCAAAAAAAGCCCCTTTTCCGGTTTGCAACTGGGGCACCGAAAGGACACCCCTCATTGGAGAGGGCCACCTGCGGATCCCCCATGACCTTCGCAGGGCCTTGCCTGCGAGTCAATGACCGTGCAAAGCTGAAACGGCAGAGGCATCCGGTTCCGGCACAAACACATGCCGCAAAAAAGAGTTGCCGTCTGGTCATCCTGAAAACATGGGACACGCCGAAAACGAGCAGAAACCAGTGAATCATGCGGACTATAGTGATGATTAGAACTTAGCTGAAACCGGTGCAGTCCATCTATATTTCTCCACACTTCCACACTGACCAAACAGGACATTGATTTATACTATTCTTAACCCTAACCAACAACCCCCTTCTTACACACACAAAAAAAAAAAAAAAAAAAAAAAAAACATAAAAGGAAACAAAGGGCAACACCAACTTGGGACCAAAAAGAACATGTATTCTGTTTGGCCCCAACCGACGGCCCCTTCGTTCAAAAGGACACCCAGTGCAAAACCATGGGCTTCCAAACCAATTCAAAAAGGCCACCTAATGGCCCCTCTCCCCCGAACCTTTCGAAACTTCTACGAAATCCGCGCCGTGTGGGAGCGCATGGGCATCTGGTAGCTCAGCCACTCGCCGCCTCAGTGCTTCAGTGAGGCGAGGGAGGTACCCCGCCTTGGAATGGTCCAGGGAGACCAAAAGGAACTCAGGCAGTTGGGGTCTAGGATAAGGGGTTTTAGAAGTAGACTTGGGGTGGGGTACTTCAACCCATTCCAAAACCATAGTCGCAATCACTATAGGGTTAAACTATTAGTAATTACTATGACCCTTATGTTTTCCTTGGAAATTCAACCAACTTAGTGGGTTGTGCATAGTATCTGGGGCAACTGCGGGGACTCCCCTTAAAGCATAACCTACTGCTTGAACCCAAGTACCAACTCCCGAAGCAGTCACTGGGCTGTTTTCTAAGCGGTTGCATGAACCAAAACGCTTGGAAAAAGGAACCTGGTTCAAAATCCGCCTCTCCTTGCTTGGCCGTGCCTTCCCGGTTTCGGCCTTAAGCCTGGGGTAGGGTGTTCTGGGGAAGGAAAACGAGGCTCAAGCCCGGCTCATAGGCTGCCAAAATGGGCTCTGCGCATTTGGAAGTGCCTGACTTGCCTGGGGCCCCAAATTGACAAGTTGTTGTCCTGGGCTTCGTTTCCAAACTAGGGCCCAATTGAATCAATTGTCTGCATGTTGAAACTAGGGCCCCAACAACACGGTTTCCATTTGGGTTCGTTCCCAAGGCTCCTCCAAACGACGGCAAGAAGCAACACAACGTCTCAACACAGTCGCTAGACGCACTTTTCAGCAGAAGCGGCCTTAAACCAACTCGACCGCCTCAACCTGGCGGATTCATAGAAAATGCCCCCCAAAAACCTACCGTGAGAAGGCCACGGTGCGGAACACCGCTTTCCAGCGGCAAGTTGTTGCAAGTGCCCTCCCCTTTGGGCCTTTGGGCCTTTGGGCCTTTGGGCCCCGAGCTCTTCGCTGGCCTGTCGCTGGATTTTTTCCTTTTGGCCACCGGTGGCGCGGCTTGTTCTCTGCCGGTGGGTACCCCAAGCCCTAAGCATCATTGGATGGAGGGGTTAAACCCCATTGGAATGGACGCCAAGTAAAGAATTGCCTTTTTGAGGGCCCCTTCGATGGGAAAGAACAAAACGAACTGCTCGAACAACCTGGCAACTTGCTTGAACATGTGAAAACCACCAAACTGTTGAAGCAACCTGCTTTTGGTGTCCCTAGAGAGGAGCCAGGGTGTGTACTTGTGTTTCAACATATATTGCAACCAACTGCGCCTCCCAAAAAAGAACACCACCAGCAAGTTGAGGGATCCACTCGAAGTCACAAATCCACTGCTACTTTCGAGTTGCCAAAAGAAACTTGTTTTTCAGCACCTCCAAAGTGGAGCTGTAGCAACAGGTGGTGATAGACTGTTCGACCCCATTCGGGGTTCTCGTTTTTTACTCCTTATCGTTTTGCAGTATTTTACCACTTGGTGGGATTTCAATCCGCATGGCTACTCTAGAAGATGGGCTTGTTCACTCACACATGGTGGCCCTCTTGTACTCGTTTCGCGCATCGGTCGTGACTGACATGGAGTCCTTTCCTTTAAGGAACTGGCCGTGAAATGACCTGCTACGCGAAGCTTCTCGCGCGCGAAGGCGGCAAAGAAGCGCGCGACCAAGCTGAAACAAGCCTAAAGGCTCCGATTTTTCGGGTGTCATTCGGCTTCATTTCCGGAGGTGGAACCCCCCAACTTCACGTCTTCAAGGGAGAATGGAACTAAGTCATTTGGGCCTCTCGTCTTTAGAATTACTGCTCCTTTAAGGGGGTTTCCCAGGAGGAAGCCCGAGGCCACTTTGGAGGGCTTGCTACAGAACGACACACTCATTTGGAAGGCCAGTTCGAGCGGTGGAACAGGGAAGGCCCGACAAAGCAACACATGGCCAGCCACGAAATCTTGACCACTGAGATGACAACAACGTGCACAATGCTAGACCCGTGGCGCACCCTCCATGAAGTGAACAGTGCCATTGTGCACCAGCATTTGAAGCCCATGTCTGGAAACACGGCAAGATGTTTAACTATAACCCAAAAGCAAACCAAGGGGAAACTAAATTGCATTGTCTCGACATTGGGAGGATTAAAAAAGGTGGCTCCCTTTCGGCCTCCCTTGAAAAACAATAAGGGCTTGAGGGGCATGCCTCGCACCTGAGTCAGGTTTGTCCCTGAGTCAGGATTGTCTCAAAGGACCGCCCCTTTTGGCGTGAAGGGAACTCCTTGGGTCAGGCTCGCACCCCCACAAAACGTGTCGCGCCTCGCTGCGTCTGCCTGGAAGCGACCGAAGCGACCGAAGCCGGGGCGTGAAAAAAGCGCCTGGCATAAGCCTTGATTGCTCATCCCATGAAGCTGACCTCTGTTCAGCCAACAAAAGGGCGTCTCTTTGTTTGGATTCAGTCGCCAAAACTGTTCAGCTGACCTCTTTGTTTGGATTCAGCCGCCAAAACGGCTTCGGTTTTACCCCAACCAACAACCCGTATCCTGCCCAAGTCGGGGATTTTTGTTGAGCTATCCGCCCAAGACAAAAACTAAACTCCCGGAAAACCAAGGCCCGGAAATCCGCCAAGGAGGAAAGTGACACTGTGACATGTTCGGGGAGAAAAAAAACACTAAGCGATGCCTCCATTACATGTTCTTAAAAAAAAAAAAAAAAAAAAAAAAAAAAACATTGGCTTACAAGGCACTCCTGATCGAACAACGTCCCTGGACCTTTGGCGCCCCAGCAACGTAGTCCAAAAATGTCTCCTGCTACCTCCCTGCCCGCTTTGCCAAAGTCCGCTGTTTGGGGCGGAGGGCTTTGCCAAACCGGACGGACCCCAATCAAAAAAGTGGTCGGCTTCGGGCCGCCGGGCATCTTCCTCCTTTTCCTCCGCCTCGCGCGGGTGCCCCGTGCGTCGTGTCCCCCGAAGAAAAAAAGAAGAAGAAAAAAACCTCACCCTCACCCGGGTCCAAGCACCGCCTTTTGGGGATTTTGGACCGCAGGGAAGTTTGAGGGGTACTGGTTCTCAGTGGAACATTCACTAGGTTTGGAAATGAACCTAATTAGGGATCCCCTCCTAGGCTTCTCAGCTTTTTTGACGCTTCAACAACCGAAGCAATTCGGCCCAGAAGCGAAACAAACGCGGTGTGGGAAAAATGCGAAACTCGCACCGCTTGTAGTTTTGTGAAGGAACCGGAGGGGAATCCTCTCGAATGAAACTGCAAAGCATGGTTTGTACTGGATATTCCCTCTGAGAGCTCCCCGTACCTCTGTAAACATCACCCGTGGGGGGAGCTCTGCTTCGAGGCGCCTAGAATACCCCCCCCAGAGAATCTGATCGCAGGACAAATCTCAGCGGCGAGTTGCTGGGATGCAAGACATAACCCTCAACTAAAATCGGCGCGACCTGGGTGAAAGGAACGAAGAGGAACGAAAATGGTCCTCTTTGCCCCAAAGCTCCAAGGCCCCGGGTTTCCCACAGTCGCCGCCAGTCCGATGGCTCAAGACTCCGGGGATGTCCTGTGAAGTTCTGCGACAGCAATCCACCGCGCAGACGTCGCTTCGCTCTGGAAAACTCGCTTCACTTCAGCTTCTGCTGGCGCCACATGTTTAGATAGTCAGAATTCCGGCGAGCTCCCGGGCAATCTGGAGGGCGCCCCTTGTTGGTGAGTAGTTTTTCTTTAACGAGAAACACCCTCCGAATAAGGCTATTCAGCACCCGCATCGCCAGGTTTGGATGTATCGCAGTTCGGGCGTCTTCAGATTCAAAAAGGAAAGCCCCCCAAAAGGAGAATCCTCTCAAGATGAGGATTTGTTAGCTTCCATATCAATCTGCAGGGTGATTGGACCATTCCCCCCCCCCTCAGGGTCCACAGGTGGCTGTTGGGAGCTACTCCAAAATCCCACGGCTCCCAGGGTGCTAAATTTTAACCGAACATTCTCTGGTTTCCCCCGGCCAAAGGCAACTGACCCGCCAGACCCGCCAGACCCTCCCCCCCTCCCCCCCCCACTTCCCCCCCCCAAAAAAAAAATGAGGAAAGAAAAGCACAAGATCTAAAGTTCCCTCGTACCCCCTCCTGAATTCCCTCCCCCCCACCCCACCCCCCCCCCCCAAAAAAGAAGAGAAAAGAACACGGACCAAGGCCCACCGCGCCGGTTCCCCTCCCTCCCCCATTCGCCCCGCCCCGCGACGCGACGCTTCGCCTCCTTGGAGCCCAGGCGCCGCTTCTTGGACTTCGCCTCCGGGACGACCGGCCGCAGACGACGGGCCGTGGATCCGTGGGTCTTGTGAGGGAACCCTCCCACCAACTGACATGGGTTTGTGCCAAAAGGTCCTTTCCAAGAGGAAAGTCGTCTTTCTACAGAGGTCTGCGCACTTACATGTGAGCTGCTGGTGGGAGGGTACCCCTTTCTGAGGTCGGGGATGCTAAGGGGCAGAGTACTAAGGCGCCTTTGGAGATGAAGGGGTTTTTTGGAGGGGTAAGGCAAAATAAACTTTGGGCGAAACCTATCTTGAGACAAACCCAGCCTTTTTCGGGTTTCATCCATCCTGCGAGGATCTCTCCCACCGGCACGGACACTTAGCGTGTCCGCAACCGCAACCCTTCCGGAATCCTTCCGGATTTTTCGGGCTAGAATCGGCGAAAATAACGCCTCTACGCGTCCACCTGGAAAAGGCAGGGGGTGCCCATTTTGACTCCCAGCTTCGGCGACAAGCGTTGCTCGTGGGAGGACTAAGGTACAGAGCGGGGCAATGGATGTGGGGTCTGGCCAATTCAATCGCTGATCCCAGCTTCCGATTGTAGAACCAGCCAAGGAGAGATGTGCTCGTTGGGCTGTGTATCCAAGCAAAGGAGGCCTTGCCTTGACTTACCTAGACCTTCTTCCTACATCTGATTTTTCTATCTAGTCGTTCATGCAGTTGATGATTTGTCTACCTGTCGATTCGCCTCATTCCCAAGACGAGCCCTTGTCCCGTGCAAAAAGGCCTTACACGCTGACTAAAACAGCGGCGGCTGTTCGCGTGTTGTGAAATAACGGGCCCTGCCAAGTAGTTGGGGCTTCAGGATTCAAATTGATCTCCTGCTGCCAAAGTGGGATTGATTGATGACAATCAGCTTGAAGAGAATTGATTTTCGAATCTCAACGGCCACTCACAGAAAATGTCAGCCCAACACCCGAATTTCCAAGACGTCGCTGGACGGGATGACTGGCCTATGTTTATCAGTATCATAGTCAGCGCAAGCGGTAGGTTTGGAACGACCAATGCCTGTCTCAGTTGACAACCAAAAATCACAGGGCTTGATTTTGGGGTGTTCGATGTTTCAGAGTGTTGTCAATACCAAAGACTTGGATTGTCCATTGGGTTCCCCTGTTGAATAGGCTCAAAACAAAATCACACACACCCCTAAACAAATCAGGAAACTCCGCATCTACAAAAAAACAAAGCAAACAAGTCAAAACCCGCACACCCCCGCCCCAAAGTGAAAACCGACCCAAACAAAAGCACCCAAAACAACAAACGCCGCATTTCCCCCCACCCACCCCCTAGCCCCTGGCACCAACCGCACCTTTTCCTGGACTTCGCAGCTCTCTCACCTTGCCTCCGCATCGCGCACTCCCCAGTTCACCGCCAGAGTCTCCAACCTGGATCAACTTCGCAGACTGACCGAGATTGACAAACCACTTAAAACGGACATGCTCCATTCCCCCGTGGTTTCTTTGCTTTTGGCCCAACTTGTTCTTTAGCCCCGGAAAAAGTCAGCGGATTTTTTCCCAAGCCCGCCTTGTGCCCTGAGCTTCTCTTTGGTTTAGGTTTCCCCAAATATTGAGACACGGCTTCCTGCCATGGGTTCTTCTAGACCAACTGCTCTTGGTGCCGGTGTCTACCTATCTGTTCTCTAGCCCCGCTTGCTTCCCTGCTTCACCTGGATGTCAATCTTGGGGGGAGTCCAGCGACTTCGAACATCCGGCGCAGGCTGCGTTGGTATCACAGCTACCTGTTGAAATGGGGCGAGACTTAGTTTGGGATTTGTTTTTGGTCTTATTCTGGAAATTGTGCTTTTTCGTCTTGGCTAGCAAAAACGGGAAAACATGGCCCTCCTTTGTTTAATGACTGCCCAATGACTCATTCCCAAAACCGGTGCAACCTTGGACTCTATGTCACTTCCCCTTGGTAAAACGTCGAGGTCCTGTATACATGGAAATCAGTGCCTGCCAAGCTGGACCAAGTGGGCGATTGGTTTTCTTTTCAGCTTCCGAACAGGGAAAGAAAAGAGACGAATTCGACCACCCCGTCGCACAGAAAGAAAACGAAAGGAAGCCGTACCAATTCTCTGATCAATGTTTGAGGCTCGAATCAACTCGGTTCGCACATCACACCCGAGTCACAGTGCCTTTGAATCTGCCAGGGAATTGCACAAGTTGGGCTACATGTCGATAGACTGGAAGGTTAGCATGGCTTGAACCTCGCAGGTGTAAAGCCATCCAGAAAAGGTAAGTTTTACCCTTCGCCATCCCAAGAGCAAAGGCAGAAAAGATCGAGCCACCCCTTCGCTTCTTCCCCCCCCTTTTCCCCGGCCCCGCCCACCGCCCAACCGCCCAAAAGCAGCGGCGGCCGCGCCGCCGGCCGCCCGCCGCCCGTCTCGGCCCGCGGCATGCGCACGTCGAAGTAGCCGCTGCGCCGCAGCTCTGTGGCCGTCTTGTCCACCTGCAGCGCTGGCGCTGGCAGCGCCACCCGCGGCCAAACCGGTGGCTGGGGTGGCTGGGGGCTTCTTCTTCTCGGTTTCAGCTGGCTGAGCACTTAGAAAAGCCCATGGGTTTTCTCGATTTCAGATGGCAGGCAGTTGGACCCCCCAAAAATAAAGAGCCGGACTTCAACGGCTTCTTGCCTGGTTTTCACTCCGCACAAAAACAGCGCGCGACGAGCGCGCGCAGCTGGAAAGGGGGGGGAGGTTGGGGTTGGGCCTCCGAAAAGCCGCAGCGTAGGGTGAAGAGTTGGTTTGGTCGGGCTCTTGAGTCATCAAAACCAATCGGTCTTAAAATGGTCGATCCCCAGAACCAGGTAAGTTGAAACGGCGAAGGCGCCCATTTATGGTTGGGACTATCCATTGCCAACCTTCTAGCCGGGCTCCGATTGCTCACTTCATCTAGTGCCAGTCAGCATGGTGAAAGCGGTTGCAGCATCGTCCTTCTTGTTGGCCCGGTGGGCATGGCGCAACTGCTTCCGCAGGCGCGTTTGTTGCTAGGCGAAGATTTTGCCTTGGCCTCTGGCTGCCCAGAGACAGGGATGGGCTCGACTTGAGGGTGCAAATCTGTCATCAGTCTGGGGGCGTGTTGCCCTATAACCTACCCCTTGGTAGCGCGATTTTGATCATAGTAAGAATGGGGGCCAGCGGTAAAGGGGCTTGGTTAGCGACTTGGTTTAATTGGGGTGTTTAGCCAAACTCCTGTAGAGTTGGTTTCTTAGAAAGCCGGACACAATCGGCGGCTTCTCATGGAAGTGCAAATCGGCCCCCTTTCCAAGAAAAAAGAGTCGTGCCTTCGCCGAGTCCCACCAAGCCATGTGGCCATGGGTCAAAATTCCGTATTCCCAGTGAACATCCCGATCCCCACTAAAGTAGGTTCTGAAATGGGTGGTGAACTCACCTACCCCAAAATGGCACCATTGGTGCTACCCACAGCCATGTTTGTAGGAAGGTCATGGCTGTGCTTTGAGCCCTGCTCGGGCCTGCGAGGGCTCTGCTTCGCCCGCGCCTCTTTTTTTTCTTCGGCATGTAAACCACTGGTTGGATGATTTTGGAAAAAATATAGGGGTGGTTCCAAAGACTCATTCCCTACGTATCGCACCAGCGACCAGAACTCCATGGGTGTCCTTGTTGCTTGAAAAATCGAGGGTCCTGGTTCACCTGGTGAGTCAATCATCAACTAGCCATCTATTTTCCCAGAATAGATGGCTGGTACGCCTATGATGATGACCTTGTCTATTTTTACTTCGAGGGGTAAAGTCAGAATCTGGGTTGCTTTGGTTGAACCACTTGCAGGCCTTGGGTAAGATCATGACATGTCAGGAGGGAACGGCCTTCTGATTTGACGTCAGAACCCCAGGGTTCGATCAGAATCCGTCCGTCGAAATTCTCGGGAAGAAGGGGGGTTGGGGCTGCCAAGCCGTTGAGTCGTTGCCCCGGTTGACTAAGCTTTTTAGGGGAACCGAGCGATTTCGGTTTTAAGGTTTCTTTGTTTAGGTTTATGTTGACTTTTGACCTGGATTTTGAACTCCACTGGACATTTTCAGGGATTCATCCAAAACGGGGTCCCCCCGGCGTCCGTCCGTCCGCCTGCTCGACGCAGGGCGAGAAGGTCACCACTTTGCCCCCCGGCACCAAGACCTCTCAGGCGAAGCTTCCCTAGCTCCTCCAGTTTTGGAGGATAGAGGGCACCAACTTTTTGTTTCTGTAGTCTGTTTTAGTAGGGGAACCCCTCCCCAAAAAAGGGCACTACTGGGGGACCTAGTTCCCATCCCACGTCTCGTGCTCCAAAACTTGGAGGCTCCACATGGAAATCTCTTGGGACCCGGGTGCTGATTTCAGCAAGGCTTCGGCTCATGCAACTCGGACCTCGTAAAAGGAAAAAACCGCTGCGTCATTTCGGAGGGGAGCCACCTCGATTGTTCGAGGCCTTCCTGGTATTTGTTTGCCTTCGAACATTTCCTGCCAAGGGCCACTCTGGTTCAATTCAAAGCAATGGCCACCGTTTACCAGCAGAAAACCCACATGTCCTCATCACTGGGCATCGGATTCCTAAAGTGAAGGACACTCGGCAACATAGAATCGACCGAACCGTTTCCCTCCCGGCGTTTTTCCGACCACAAATCCAAAACGGATCTGTGAAGCACCCGCGGTCTCCACAGAAAGTCAGCCTCCCTATTGCTGGTTTGGATCGGCGGTTCCGAGGCTCCAGGGCTCAAATCCGCAAACCGATCCCTGTTCCGCCAAGCTGACGGGCCACCGGAGGTTCTTTCTCCATGGCACAAAACAAAGAAAAAACACCTGAGGCAAAGCAACCTGGCTGCACAAAAAGGGGAAGCCAACCCTTGTTGGGGGTCCCCCCAAAAAAGGACGCCCACATACCCCACATCGAAACACGGACAGAAAAAAGCCGCCGCCATGCAAGGAAGCTTCAAGAAAACGGAGCCAGCTCATTCCCCCCCCCCCCCTTGAGGTGAGCTTTAACACTTCAAGGGGTATAAGTCAAAACAGGGAGACCCAAACCCGAAGGCGGTCCACATGAGCTTTCCCTTTCAACCAAACTGAAAAAGACCCTTGTACCGAGCCTCAAACAAGACACAACTAGCAATACACACGTCAGGTTGGCATGTTTCTCAGGGCCAGGTGTTGGAGCTCTGGATGCTGCAAAAACCGCCGAATTGTTTGTCAGCTTGAAGTACCTCTCCCGCATTTCGCGTGGTATTTCTCACCTCCGTACCTGAAACAAGCCTTTGAATCTGGAAATGTCTTTGCTTCCTTTCAGGCCCCAAGGACCACAAGAAGGATCGCCAACCAACGAAAGACCAGCCACCCATATGGGTGCGTGTTTTTTTTTTTGAGTTAACCATTTTTTGTTTGGGTGGTCAAGGGAAGCCAAAAGGAAACCGAAAGGACCCATGTTGGAAAACGCCCATTTTGAAATGGGGTCCCCTGAAAAGCGACACACCCCTATGTGTTTGTTTCGCGGGAAGTTTCGGCATCCGGGAAGGGGGGGGGGGGGAAACCCCGCCCTTTTGAACTGCCAATCCACCAGCCATCCGTTTTCTTCCCGAAAACCCGCCCTTTTGGGGCGAACTGCCAAAGTTGCCAGTCCCTTTTTCTCTTTCCGTGCCGATGAGATCTCGATTGAAATCGGCCCAAGGCTGCAGGTCAGAGGTCGCCACCCTTCTGCCTGCCTTGGCCCAGACAAGGACGGCCTTGAGCCAAAGGCCCCGAGGCGGGAGCTCCGGGCCTCGTCTGCAGACATAGGCCAAGGAGACGCACCGAAGGGTAGAGGGCTGTGGCTCAAAAAAACAAAAGGACACCAGAGAATGGCACCTTGAGTGGAAAGACTGAAATTCCTGCGGGTTGCCCCTAGCTTTGCAATTTTTGAGCCACACCCGGAGGTATTCCTGTGCTTGTTTTTCCCTGTGATCTTCTTTCCTGGCGCTGGTTGCTTAGTGGCAAAATCCGAGGAGGGCCGAGGCGGATTGGGGGCAGGAAGGGCGGTATCCTCAGTTTCTGGGAAGCATCCCCAGCATCACCAGCACTTGCACGGGCTGCCTATGGCTCTGGTGTGGCAGTTGAGAGTTGCTCCAGGACTTGGTTGGGGTGGTTTGTGTTCATGAGCCGCTGGGCGGATTTAGGGTTGACTTTGGGTGGGTGTGGGTTGGTTTGCATCTGACTCGTGTCAAACCAGCCCAGAACTCACTTAACCACACCCCACGCGCGCCAAACCAGGAGCACACCCAACACGACTCGTCTTCAAGTTCCTTGGGCAAACCGGCCCTTGGCTGCGCCGAAACGAACCCAAAGCAACCCAAGACCTAGAAGGATCTACGCTCCCTCAAGCCAACGGCTGGAAGCTCCCAGAAAACGTCTGCAAATGGAACCAAGTCTTATCAAAGGGACCTGCAAGCTTCCATGCTAGTCTGGGGTCAGCCTAAGACCACCGCTAGTCAGACCATCCCCGTGCGAGCAACCCCAAGCAACCCAGAGCCAATGAGCGGCAGCTCCAAGCGTGCAGCGGATGGGGCGCGGAATGCTTTTTGGGGCGGGGATTTTATTTGTGTGTGGCCGTGGCCGTGCCGGGTGGCCAAAACGCGCCGTCGCCTTGCGCCTCCGCTTGGCCTCCGCTCCGCCTCCGCGCCGGCTCCGCTCCGCTCAGGCTCCACTCCGGCTCCACTTCGGCCTCGCTTGCGCACTTGATGCCTGATGTTGGAAGAAGTGATAGCAGCGTGAGGACCTTCGTTTGCGGGCGACGGAAGACGGATGATACAGTGCTTTCCTTGAAAGGCCATGAGGCTTTTTACATCCAATACATGAGCACTTAGGAAGGCGTGAGCCTTTCGTTTCTGTGCAAATTGAACACGTTCGGTGTATGAGCGCTGCTTGCACGAGCAGAATTGGACGTGCGTTCAGCTATCAGAGGCTCAAATGGTTTTTAATCATGAGCAGCCCGATAGTGCCAATCCTCCCCCCTTTTAAGATTTTTCGGGCGCTTCAGATTTTTCGGGCGCTTTCCACGCATGACGGTATGCATTTGACATTTTAGTTTTTCCTGCAATGGTCAGTCTTGTTGACAGCAAGCCCGTCTTCAAGAGAACATGCTGAGACAGATGCTATTGAGCGCCTTATTGGGAGCCTACAGCATGGGTCCACCAGGAGACACACCCTCTCAGACCAACCTTCAGGACCTGACAAAGGACGAAGACCGGAACTGCACTGTGGGCAAGGTGAGCGCTGTTCTTCCGCCAGACGTTGCTGATCGCTCAGATCAAAGCCACGGTTGAGGGGAAGTCAGACAAAGGGGCGACAGAGCTGGCGCCAGCAGAGCTGGCGCCAGCAGAGCAACAGGACAGAATGAAACGACAAGCAGAACGTCTGAAGGGACTTAGCCTGGAGGGTGAATTGGTGGGCATTCAGGGTACCGTCTGGTGATGAAGATGCTCCAGGACAATGCAGTCATTTTCTTGCATCCGAACCGTTTCCCGCTGAGGCGTTTTGAGTTGCTGAATGAGAAGAAGAAGCGAGAGGTCCTTGTCACAAGCGGGCAAAGCCTTGCTGTGAAGAGCAACACTCAATTGCCGCAGTGTGACACTTTTTCAGAGCTTTGCTGATGCAAGCGTTGACGCGTCGTGCGTTGTGCCTGGACTTGGTAGGAGCAGCAAGTTTCAGCATCGTTGAAAAGTACAATGCAATGCTCATGAGGTGCCTGCAAGAGCCATCGCCGCCCGGATACCGTCAGGCGGATGTGGCTCAAATCCTTAAAGCAGATCAGCGTGCATGGCTTCGCATGAGTGAAACGGTGAAGAATGGTTTGAAGCGTGATGCAAGTGGCAATCTCCCTGTAGATCTTGCCTTCCCCAAGGAGGAGGTTGACCCGCAAGTGTGCTTCCAGTTGCGTCCCTTGCCGTCAGGCAGTGCTCCCCAGCAAGAGCGACCCGCTGACTTGCCCGGTGCAGCTAGCCGGCCTGACCATGTGATTGAAGGAAAGGGCAAGAATAAGGGTAAGCAGAAGCAGCATGCCTGAAGCGTTGAGGGGCAGCGATGCACTGCAGCAAAAGGCTTGCACATCTGTTGGGACTACACCCTCCCGCATGGCTTTGCATCCATGCCGACCTGAAGGACGGCGGCGGTTTTTCCTCAAAATCCTCACATTTGCCATGGGAAGGTGCGGGAAAAAAAACCATCTGCACAAGCCATGAGTGACAGCAGGGGGCACTGGCTGCTACCTTTCTTCGGCCGCACCTGTGGGCCCGGTGGCCGTGGACGGCTGTACGGCTGGCCGGAAGCACCAAAAAGCTATGGATGGGGCGGAGGCACACAGCCAGCCAGCCGGCGAGCCAGACAGAAGAAGAAATAACGGCTCCGGGCAAAAAAAGGTTTTGTGCAGCACGAGACGTAGCAAAACCTCCCAAAAAGAATGGCTTTCCTTTTGGTCTCCCTTTGAACCAACCCCAAAAAGGGCTTTTCTGCTTGGACCCACCTGAAAAGGTGGACACCGCCCACATTTCGCGTACACATTCTCTGCTGCCCGGCGTGCCTTCATTGCATAAGAACCCCTTATTTTCGGTGTCTGAGGCCTATGTCCGCAGGTATTGCGCAGAATTACGTGCACGTGAGGCCAAGATGGCCCGCTGTAGCCACAGCCTGATCTGGGCTGTTCAAAATTTCATTTTTGGCCAATCCGATTTCCATAATCCCTATAAAGAAGCCACTAAGGGAGAACAGCCCAGCGAATCCCTTGCTGCCAACCAAACAGTGTCATCTGACCAAACATCAAATAAACTTCTGCAAAACCACCTCATGGGTAACGTCGGACACCCGCCGAGTTCACCACTGTGGTTCTGCGCGGGTCTGCTCCGTTCTGTGCGAGCTCCCCGTCATTGAAAACGAGGCTCATGCTGGTCTCCGTTCTGAATCTTGGCCCACCTGTACAGCCAGTGCCTGGCGTTGTTCATCTCCTCCACGGTGCAGGCATGGCAGTACAAGCAAGACGAACCTTTCCAACAGCCGTCTCGCTTGCTCAGGTGGTACATGCATGGCTTGCATCTCATTGCGCGCTGTAGGTCCAACGGGAGAAAGCGCGGAAAAGGCACCTCCTCTGGATATGGCGCCTCTCTCATGGGCCTTCAGCTACGACCAGCACTCTGAGCCGTGCGCTCAGCGTCGGAGAAATGCCCGGCACACGCTTCGAACTTGGTCTCGGAATGACCACCTCTTCGGAATGACCACCTGACCTTCGTATCACAACGCTTCGCGAGCTGAACACATTGGGCCGAACGGAAAACAAAGGAATGGAGGTTGGCAACTTCCCGCTCTCCGTGATCAACCTAGTTGCATCAGGGAGGCTTTCCAGGGCTCCAAAAGCGGTCCGTTGGAAAGGCACCGGCAAGGGGCTCCAGTGGATGCGACCTGCAAGAGCCTGCTTGGGCGATGCTTTCAGAGGAATTCTTCAGCCAAATCCCTTTGCGTTCACATATATGGACGCTTATATGCCTGAAAATGCCAACTTGATTTGTGAGTTGTCGTGAGTTTATGTGGAAAAAGCAAGCGAACACATGGGGATTGGGAAAGCATACCCGTCCTGGGTGGTCATCCCACATTCCAGCCGCTCCCCAAATTGTCCACCAGTTCCCTTTCCGGTCCCTGCGTATCTGACTGACCCCAAAGCCGAAAATAGAAGCACTTTTGCTTTGCCTTAGCAATGCGAACCCCAATAACAAAAGTAGGGCTGGGGGCCCCTCCAAAAGTGGTCTGATTCCCCTATATTTCACCCAGGGACACACCCTATAAACTGTGGTTGATTGATAAAGCTGGTACAAAAATAATGAACACAGAATTATGTAAAGAATTGAAAGGCGGCCGCACTCGTTTATGGCTGGGATTGTCCCTTACTACCCTCCAATTATCCGGGTGTTGATTGTGACTCAGTTGACAAAGGCAAACAACTTCCCAGAGAGGAGTCAAAGGCATACGCGGGCATGGGTGTTGGAGCTATGAAGGTTATGTGTGTGTGTGTGTGTCGGCCACTTGTTCAAAAAAAGAAGAAGTATGTACTGCGCTACGAGGCAAACAAGAATCACACATCGAGTCATGGGAGTAGACCTTTTCTCATGGAACCTGACGTTCGGGTGGTCCTGGTTTGGACAATTGTCCCTTTAAGCGGGCCGTTTTCCTTTTCAGGTTCCATGTGAAAAGGCTGAGAGGGTACTTGCCAGTTCAACAGAAACCCAAGAACCCACAAAGTGTGCGAGCCATTTTGCCTTTTTGGGCAATAGTTAAGACCCCTGGAAAAAAAAGAGAATATGTCTAGTGATAAGTTCCCTTCAAAGCCAACAAGGGACAATTTGAAAGAAAAAATCATTTCAGCCATAGGTGTCCTTTTAGGGGAAACAAATGGCCCTGGTAGTTGATTAAACCACCAGGTAAACCAGGAATCGCCCTCTATTTTTCTAAACCACAAAAAAGGACACCTATGATTTCAGCAAATGGGAGCTATGACTTCGTTGTTGTGGCGTTTTGTTCGCGAACCCGTTCGCGCCTCGGACACGTGGCCCACGGCCGCCCAGGGGGCGGGCAAATCCTTGGTGAAACATGCAGCCGGGAGCATCGCCGGCGCCGACCACTTGGGCTCTGATCCCCGAAAATGCTAAAAGTGAATCAGCGTTTGTGGGCTAAATGGCTGTGGCTCAAAAAACCGGAATTCCAAAATGGGTTGCCCGATCGGTAAGTGGAAACATGGACCAAAACCTGCGCAACCAATCCTGTTTGATTTTGACCCACACCCAAATGGAAGCTGCCACACCAACTAACCTACTCAGCAGAGGGACCGAATGGCTGGGAGCCAGCAAGTTCAGTATCAAAAGAATCTTCCAACTCAATCTTCCTCAACTTCTTCACTTCGTCAAGCTCTGGAATCCTCAACTTCTATCTTGCATTGTGCGAGCTTTACAACAACTCCGAGCCTGAGATTCGGGATTTCAACGGACCGGTGACCAAGGGCACCTCATTCTGCCGGGGTGGTGTTCTGCACCCTCACCCTGGCGCTTTTTTGGGTAAAGCAACCGTGGCGCTGGACATTCCTCGGTGGCCAAGTCTGCGAAGCCCTGCAGATTAGTGACTCACTTTTGGATTCATACGGAAGACCCATTAGTTGGATCAAAAAGTGATTCAGTCCTAACATCCCTCGGCAAAATGCAAAGATTACTTTGAATCAGCTTCCCCCTAGGTGGTTTGGAGTCGAATCGGTGGCGGTGAAGGTGGTGGTCTCCCATCTAGCTCGGGTTCGAATCCACTAAGGGTTACCTGATTGAAAATCCCACCAAGGGGTGGGTGTTATTGAAGAGCTGTGTTTTAAAGGCAAAGCAAAAGGCTATCCAAGCCGCGTTGGGTGTCACCCTATTTTTTGACACGCCTACATCCCATACAAGGAAGCCCGCGTTCGCCACTGGATTTCCTTTTCAAGAGTTGCAATTTACTGGTGGTGTCCATTGAAACTGCCACTGACTGGAGGAAACCTTGCCCAAAGCTTGCCCAAAAGGAAACTCGGCTGAGCCAGGCGCCAAGAACACGCCATGCACCGCCTTGGTTCGGACCAAACGGCTGGCTCAAGATGTCTCATTTTTTTTTGTTGGGGGGGAGCCGGGGAGCCCGGAAAATGACGTCGGCGAGGCTTTCCACCTCCAACCGAGTCTTTTCCCGTCCATACCCCACCCGAAAGAAACGGGAGACGAGGCCTCTCCCACCCGACGAGCCCCGCCCGAGTCGGCCCGCCGGAAAAGCCCCAGAAGCACCAGCCAGGAATGACCAAGGGAGACTCACCCGTCATGGACCACGGATGTTTAGAAAACCACCCGGAAAAGATGGAAAAATATAGAGCCCCACTTCCAAGTGGTCTTGTTGTTTTGTTTGTCTTGGTGTGTCTTGTTGTTTTTTTTCCAAAAGGATCTTCGAATCGTACAGAGAGCGTGCACCAACAACACCGTGCACGGTGTGTTGTGCATACGTCCGCGCTTGCGGACACGTGTCAAACAAAGCACTCGGAGCCATTTTCCGAGCGTTGCCCATTGCATCAAAGTCCATTTGGTGAGCGACCGTGGAATGGCCCAAGGGCAACCTGAGACATGACACACTCTTGGGAGGTGTCCTTTTCAGGAAAATCCATGGCACTGGTAAAAATGCTAAGAGCCAAAGGGAAGGCCAGCGCCATCGATTTTCAAACCAAGTAACCCAAGGAGAGCTATGCTGATGGGCTGGCCCACGGAAATCCAGCCAGAGCTTCCGAACAGAACTCTACCTCCGCCTGCCTTAGCACTACGAAGCTTGGGATTGACTCGGGAAATTGGAAGAAGTAGGAGTCGAAATACATCGACCATCTTCAGAGTGAGTAGTCTCCGGGAACCTCTACTAAGCCAAAGAATCTCCCTAAAATTCGCCCTTCCATTTTGGAGAACGCTTTCAGACAACAACCTGGCTTCCTTGCCCACAAAGCATTGCCTCGTTCAATCCTTGAGCCTTACATCAAAGACTTCGCCAAAGGACCTTGCCACCCCTACGGTCCTCCAGTTTCCAGAATTGGCTGTGGCTCACAAAAACCGTACCAAAATGGAACCCTGGTAAGTGGAAACATGGACCAAAACCTGCGTAATCCCTCCTGTTTAATTTTGAGCCACAGCCAATTGACATTGCCCCACAAGAAAGCATCTTCGCAAGAGGTCCTCAGGGACGCAAAATTGCCTGTTCTCACTTTTACAGACTTGGCTATGAGTCAAAGCCCCATACCCCCAGTGAACATCCCAATCCCCACTAAAATAGGTTCTAATATAGGTGGTGAATTCACCTACCAACCAAAATGGTATGATTGGTGTTGACCGGCCACTTGAGAAGCCCGTTGTTTCAAGGCCCCCAAACCCCCCCCCGTGACCGTCTGAAGGCTTTGTTTACCACTTCTCAGCGGAATGGCCATGAGAAAAACTTGCTGGTGGTCAGGGAGAGCACCGAATCAACCGTTTGGGCCAAAGGGGCCCCGGAAAGGAAACCACAAGGGAGGCTTTTCGTGCTTTTGTTCGGGGTCATGCTATGTGATCCTTCCCGGCCCATTGGGCACCAGCAAGATGGTCTCAAAGAAGCTGGACTTCGGGGCGCGCGCCCTGAGGCCATTTGATGGGTTTTTTTGGGCACCACTTGCCACCCACCCCTTTTGAAAAACCTAAAAAACAGGTGCCTTTGTTGGGGCTTCAAGGAAACCATTCATTTTTGAGAGTGTTCTTGGCTCAGAACATCCCCCCCAAAACGGGGGAAAAATGGCGCCTCCCCCCCCCAATGTGGCGGCGGATTTTTCAGCCGAAGGCGCCCCTCGAAGGTCCTCCCCGAAGCCGTTGTTACCTGGGCCGCGAGAGCGGCTCCGGGCTCGGGCACGGCCCCGAAATCGGTGCCACGGGGCGAAATCGGCCACGGTGCTCTGGGGTATTGTCAAAGAGATATTGAAGTTAAGTCAAAAGGTATTTCATTAAATCGATATTTTGAAATTGCTGAGTCAAAGGTTAATTTGTAGGGTTGCAGACACCATGGAGGGTGAACAACAGGGTGATGGGCTCGTATAGCAACCAGGAGGGTGATAGGCATATACCCACATAATTTGTGAAGAAAGCTCCAAGTCGCTTGTTCCTGGGGATTATTCCCTTCTTCCTATTAATCAACCTACCCCTAATAATAAAACTCCCCCGAGCCGCGGCAAAAATATGGCAACACAAAACTTAAACTGGCCAATACTAAACCAATACTAAGCTCCTGAGACTACACATGCTTTCCACCAAGCTCCCAAAATATGCTTATTAGGGGTCCCCCCGCTCCAGAGTGTGTTGAAGTCCAGTGACCATGGGACACTCCCTTTCGAAGTTCTTACCTAAAAGTTGCAATCTGAGAAGTTATTGCTCCAAATCAAAGGAGATCCACTTTCCAATGCAAGTCCAATACTAAACAGCAAACTATCAACTGGATCTAGGCCCAAACCGGCGACCCCTAATCAACAAAACTCCCCCCCCCCCCCAGGTTTTTCTATTTATTTTATTTGGGGGGGGGGACGCTTTTTGATGAGGGAGAAGCGAGTATGAACATCATCCCACCAATTTCCTTCATGCGGCTCCATTCAGGGCAGGAAAGGGGGAGAGTTCAATAATCCCTGAGAACCCACGCGGGGAATCTCGCGCCTGACAATCATATCCCCCATTCAGAGCCACAGCAAGCCGGGCCCTTGCAGCTCATAGTCACTGGTGACGGTTTGCATTTCCGGGGCCGCCCTTTTTTTTTTCAGCGGGTCAGCTATCAAGTGTGCTGAGTCCGCACAAGGGGAGAAGACTGGGATTCCAGTGATGCAGTCGCTCAGCACGAAGCCTCCAGGCCCCTGGCTCCCGTCACCCTCCAAGGGCTCCTTTGAAACCAACGGCTGATGTTCTTAGATCGGATCTTGGGCTCATTCGCCTGACATCGCCCTGATTTGTCGAGAAGTTGGGTCTGAAGTTGCAACCCTGAGCATCCTGAGAAGCAAGCTGTGGCTGCTGTGGCTCAAAAAATGGACACCAGGGCACACCCCCAGGTTGCAGCATAAACAACCACATCTGCATCTGCAGTCTTCTCCCCCCCCCCTTCCCCCCGGTTTGCAGCAAAAACAGCCACGTCCACAACTGTCTCACCCCCAGTTTTTTTGCAAAAAGACCAAGGCGGCCAACGTCTGCCACCTCCTTTTTCCGGGCCGTTCCTTTCCAGCCCCCTCTACGTTTCACGCCCCCGCGCCCGCCGAAGCGAGCAAATCCGGGGCTTCGGGCACACGTCCCGGTGCCTGGAGGTCACCACGTCCAGCAAACCATACTTCTCGAAGTCGGCCTGCGCCTGCCTCTGCCGCTCCTGAACGCGCTTCAAGCCACGGAAACGGACGCACTGGATAGCTTCGAAGTTCCTTCCTTTTGGGCGGGCGTGGTGGTCAAAGATAGGGGAATCCATTGAAAAAGGGGTGAAACGGGGACGAAAACCTGAGGTCCATATCCTGGTGGTGTAATGCTGACCCATGCCGGTTGATCAAAAAGGTCAGGACTGCCTGGGGCGACCAGGGAAACCCGTTGGGAATATTTTTCTCGACCGCCGTACCGCCGTGTGTTTTTGTGGAGGCCCAGGAAACCCCGATTTTTCAGGTGGGTAACAAGCGAGACCAAAAGAACAACCTGGATCGTTGAAAAAGTTCCTTTTTTTTGACTCAATCCCAGGCATCCCCTCATATTAAGGGTGGTTTGAGACATCCTTTGGGTTGCCACTTTAAGATGAGCATCTTTTTGTTTTTTCCTTTGGACTATCCAAATTTGCTGGTATGCCCCTTTTGAACAAGGTGAACCTTTTCGAAACCCTTTGCGTTGGAAAAAAAGAAAAACTCCTTAAGGACTATACAAATCCTTTTGAACCACATTTGGAAATAGAGGACCCAGCCTTGACGAGGTGCCTTTCCGGGCTCCGTGTAATGCGATTCCGATCGGCTCCGGATCCTTTCTGTGCCCCGTTCAGTGTGCCCAGCCGAGCCCCAGTTGGGTACAAAGGTCTACAGGGGGATGGTTGGGACGTGAGAAGTCGACAGAAACCTGGGCCGATCTCAACGAATCTATGCAGAACTTGATGACCTTTTTGGAGAAGCCCCAGATGAATTGGCTGACTCCAACCTCATCAAAACATGCGCAGCCAACGGAGGCCCAACGCAGAAGACCAAGCTCTTACTAATGTTCTCACACCAATCCACAAACAGTTTTCTGCAATTTGGCTGTTCCGTCTGAACAGCAGCGCTGCCAGGCGCAGATTCGAGTTTCCAGCGGAAACTTGAAAGAAAGGCGTGTTGATCAAAAAGATCGTGAATGGGAATGCGCTGTTGGCAGCCACATGAAAAATGTTGCACAGGAGCTCTGTCTGTTGCTCGCTGGCTCCCCAAAGCTGCAAGGCAACAGCTGAAAGAGAGCCGGCTGGGGCTAAAACTGCAAGCAAGAGCCAACCACAAAGGCACGGACCCTAAACCCTACAACTAACCTTTAGGTGCCGGTCGCAGCAACTCTATGTCCTTTGAGAGAAATCAATCAGCGGAATTCTGCCTGGAACAGGGTGTCCCTGCTTTGGGGGAGCCAGTAGACTACCCTCAAAATACCCTCTTTCCCGCGTTGCCATGGCACCAGGCAATTGGTCCCTCCGAGAGGAAACTGATCTTCCAGCTGCCCTCTTACAGGTGCCATAGAGGAAGATGAGTGGAACCGGTCTCAAATCCGAGCCCATCTATGTGAAACAGGACACACCTGGCTCTCAAAGAATCTCAAATCGCAACCTGCAGGGGCGTCGGCTTTTCCTTTTGGGCAAGAAGGGCACCTTGCGCCTCAAAAGAAAAGGGACGAGGCACCCTGTATGGGTTCCCCAAATGCCAAGAGCCCCAAGCAAAAAACGCTAGCCCAAAGCCCCAACAAACAACGAGCACTGGGGGGGGGGGGGGAACGGAGACAGCCCTTGAAGCGGCCAACCCTTTTGCGGGTTCCACGGGTTTCGCTTCCACCGAACCCCCCCCGGGCGTTTCGCAGATTCCAGGGGTCCTGGTCCATCGGAGCCCCCAGCCGGACCTCCAAAAGTCCAACCAAGTCCAGCTAAAGCCGACCGAGCAAGAGGTTGCTTGGAGAGGTCACATAATGATAAGAAGAACAAGAACAAGAAGACAAATAATACATGTATGAATAATAAGCAACTTGTTTAAAAAGAAAAGAAACTTGCCGCTGGAGGTGGCGTTCCCTTGAACCTGCCGCTTTTGGAGCTTCCAAAACTCGAAGACGGCTCGGAAAGGGTGCAAAGCCAGACAACAGGCAAACACATGGGCATGGTTGGTTGTGGAGAAAAACCGGCGGACCTGTTGCTTCGGCACCTCACCGGAGAGCCTCCCCCCCCCCCGGCAGCTCCGCCCGCGTTTGTCGCCGCCGGCGCCGCGTGCCTCGTGGAACTCGAAGGTGTGCAGCCGCCCTCCAGGCCGCAGCGCGCGGCCCAGGCTCGCGGACACGGAGCCAGAGCCCGTGCCCGCCTCGCGCGAAGCCGTGAGCCGTGAGCCGTGAGCCGTGAAACGAGAGCTGGGAGAGCCGGGAGAGCCGGGAGATGGCAGGGTGGGGGTGGGGTGGGGTGGGACATTCCTTTTGGCTTCGGAGTTCTGTGGGTGGTTGAAAAAGGTGAAAGGGAACCCAAAAATTTCTGGGGGTGTGGCTTGTCCATTTGACAAGACAGTTTGGTGGACGTCGTTTCAGTTGGGGTTCATGTCAACTAGCCACCCGGGAGGGCATTCATTGAAACTCATAGCCATCTGGTTACCGCCAAGGAAAAAACCGGGCCAAGGCCTGTTCTACGTGCCGCACGCAACAACCCAGCGTTTCTTGCTGCCGGAACAGGTTTGCGTGTTGTGTGGAATAGGGACTAGTTGCGGGAAGCACAAAACCCTGATTGATCGATGGAGGGCATCCATTTTCGTATGACACTTCGCTGCATGATACACATGCTGGAGCAAGCCGTGTTGACTACGGGCTCCAATCAGAGGCAGTTCCGGATTCCAAGTTTGAACAAGCCCCCCCTCCCAAAGAAAAACAAGTACCAGCATAGACTCCAGATAGCGCTAAGCCGGCAGATGCTTGCACGCCAGCACCTCCAACAGCAAACAGCAATTCCCAGAGCACACGGCCGTCAATCTCTCAAAAATGCACCCGTACTCCCCCAATAGCCCAAACAGCGTCCCCAAGCAGCACCTCCACCAACACCCCAAACTGCACGCCCGCAAGCGTCCTGACAGCACGCAGCATCACAGTGGCTCCACCTGCACCATGATGATGTTGACAGCATCATGGTGATGCTGACAGCATCATGCTGATACACCAACCACGAACCTTTACGCGTTAGCCGCGCTACGTTTAAGGCAGAGACGACGGCCTGGTGAGTTCGACGCCATCATGATGGTGCGAACAGCATCAAGACGATGCAGCTGGCGTCGTGATGACACAGCCACGAATCACCTTGCGACATCGTAGTGAAATTCAGCATCGTCTTGACGATGTCAACAGAATCATAGGCTACATGACCCGCGAACCATAACGCGGCATCGAAATGATTCCCGCAGCATCATGGTACTGTTGGCGCAATCATGATTTTACACCAGCCACGAAACATTCCGACGATGTCCTAATGCGTTCAACAACATCATGATTAATGTTGCACCTGGTTTAATATCGGTAGTCTGAATTATGTCAAGTTTCCCCACGACCCCCCCCACTACTTCGGTACCATGATTTATGTCAAGTTCGAACCCCAAAAAATCCTGTTGAACAAAATCTGACTCAAAAATCGCAATATGGGCAACTGATTTCCCCTCTCAGCTTCCTGGCTCAGTCCCAGTAGTGAAACTCTGCAAATCTTTGGTTGCTCAACCTGAGACGCTGTGGGCCTCAAAATCTAAAAGCGTAGCAAGCCAAGACCTGAGCCTCTGAATTCCTGATTTGATCCTAAGCCCCAACCATCAAAATTCTTTACTTAAATCCATCCAAAAACAAGCCCCAAACAGTCCTACAGAGGGGGTTGCCCACAAGGGGGCCTGATCCTCTTTGAGGGGCACTGTTTGGGCACCATGTTTAATGTCCAGTCTTAGGGTGGCAACCCAAAAGGAAGTGCTGGCAATACTAAACCAAGTAGTGGCAGCCCAAAAGGAAGTGCTGGCAAGACTAAACTAAGTAGTGGCAACCCAACAGGAAGTGCTGGCAATACTAAACCAAGTAGTGGCAATCCAAAAGGAAGTGCTGGCAATACTAAACTAAGTAGTGGCAATACCAAAGCAATACTCAACTCACCCAAGCCCCCCGCCAAATCCCTATTCAGGATCCCCAGGACTGTTTTGACTGTTTCACGGGGCGGGAGGGCCCACAGTAAACAAGGTCCAACATTACGTGCTCAGCATCATGATGATACTACAACCACGAATCATCACCCCCTAGCAGCCTGCCATCGCGCATCCCACAGCACCTGCACCAGCACCCCAAACTGCAGCACGCCCCCTAGCACCCGGTCGTCAATCTCGCAAAAATGCGCCCGCGCCGCCACCAGCACCTCAAACAGCACCCCAAACTGCATGCCCGCTAGCACCCGGTCGTCAATCCCACAAAAATGCGCCCGCGCCGCCACCAGCACCTCAAACAGCACCCAAACTGCATGCCCCCTAGCACCCGGTCGTCAATCCCACAAATAACTGTCCCTCTGCATTAGAAGTTAGAACCCCTGTAGCTTTGAGCTATCTGGCGAAAAAGGGGGGCTGCCGCATCTCAAGCGCTCACGGCATCTGAGCCCAAGATGGCCCAAAAACGTGCACGCTTCTAGGACCTTCTGTTTTTACTAGGGGGGGGAGGGGAGGCCCATAGAACAGCCCGGCGATCGCAGTCCAGCTACAAGAACGCCGCGCGCCTCGCAAATGACCCGCCCCGGCCGCGCGTCCAGCAAGCACCGCAGCCTTCAGTTCAAGGGTCTTCTTTACAAAAGGACACGCTCGCATTGGTCGATCATGTCAACCCCAGATTAGTTGTTTCCCCAAAAGTGGCTTAAATGGGACACCTCCGCAAATCAACCAGAGGTTGTTCATCCTTGCACCAAGCAGGAACCAACCAAATTCCGTGTTGTGCTTAGAGGGCGCCCTTGACTATCTATCTCGCATGTTCAGCAAGCAGGTGGTCAAAAGTTGCATTCATGGATGAGCTCGAGATTCTTCATGGCAATAATTATACTCATTATGCCAAAACACAAACATACACGATCAAGTGGCATTGACCGTGAATCACATGCGTTCGCATCTTTGTCCGATTTCAGGCGAGAGTATGCAGAACCAGCTCCGGAGTCCCATTTAGGGTCTCCATGGGAGACAAGGGGGCACCTTGTTTTCAGATTTCAAAGGGACACTCCCCCCCAAAAAAAAACAAACACAGAGAAAACCACTGGAGGCCCGTTTCTGCCAGGCAGCATCGAGATGTCCGCGTGGTACACAATCTGCCTCGTTGAAACGAGCAGCACGCGCGTTGATGTCCACGCACCAGAGTTTCCGGCAAAGCTTTCCGTGTGCCATGATCAATCCTACTGTGGATGGACAAAATCCTGCACCACCCAAGAAACCCTGGAAGGATGATTCCCCTGTAAATACCAACGACAAATGGTTTCCCATGGTTTCAAAGTGGTGCAGGATTTCGTCTATCCACAGTAGCTCCAACGTGGGTCGTGGTTGAGCGATGGTGCGCTACAGTACCCGAGGTGGTGGGTAAAGGATACCACAGGGCCCAAAAGAAATTGTTTGAGAACCGCCTCAAAGCATGTGCAGTTGCGGCTATCGTTCATATCTTCCCATTAAGGAGATGATGAGCACCCCTACCAACCCCAAAGCGCTCTTCGACCGTGCCGTCTTGTCTCTTGCTTCTGCTTGTTCGCGGAAACGAAAGGCGACTGGGGGACTGCAAAACAGGAATCTCACCTGAGACTCTCTTGATGATAACAAGCAGCAGACACACACACACACACACCAACTGCTTTGTCGTCAGCTTCCATGACTGTTGGAAAAAAAATTCAAATGATTCACTTTTTGTTTTTTGGTCGCAAACCTCAAATTTTCTCGATTTGGCCAAGATGCAAACCTCTGAGGAACCAGAGGTACAAGGGCCCCACCTCATTCCCTGGGTTTTCGCTTGCAAAGCCTCAGGACCTCTCAGCGCCCGGCGTGCGGTGCGTCAAGCTGTGCGTCACAAACTCTGGGGAAGCCCGCAGCAGCGCCAGCCAGAGCCCGCCTCGACCAAACCAACGGCTTTGCTTGGGGTGGCCCCTATGTGTTTTTCGTGGAAAATGGGTGGGCTCGTCTTTTTTGGTGCGTTGGTATGCGTTTTTTAGGGTTGTTGGAGGGAAATGAGAGGGAACTCCTTGAGACAAATGAGCGTCGAAGTTGGATGCAACACTCCCTGTCCGCGAGATCGATCAGGAACCGTTGGCTAGGACCCCTTAAACCGGCCCCCCTGAAAAGTGAGGCGCTTCCCCCGGGAAAACGAACCTCTCTGATTCCAAATCATGGAAGTTCCTTCTGGGGGGGACGTCTGCAGCTTGGCTGCGGCATATAAAGCGAAACCAAAAACGAAACCAACTCCCGCGTTTGGGTGTATCTTTTCTTTAGGGTACCCCCAAAAGGTGGTTTTCCTTTGACCTTCTCTTTAAAAACCACCAGAGACCGGTACCCCCAAAAGGAACCACACCCATTTGAGTTCTCCCTTGAGAGGCAGGAACCCTTCCAAACAAGAAAAGGGCAAGAAAAGCGCACGGTAAATGTATCGCAGCAGTGGATGGCCAAACACAAAATGCAAGGCTTATAAGGGGGAACAAGGGAACCACCCGCATCCCATCCAACCGGGTACATAGCAACTACCTTTTGGACAGTAGCAAAGCTAATTTAGGACATGGGAAAAAGCAGTTGCAAGTTGAGAAGTGGATGGGTTTGGTGGGCGGCTTGCAATAGCGATACTTAGGGCAACCGTACCGAACAGGTTGCCGGATTCCTGAAAAACCCAGAGGTAGCGATGCTCCAGACGAAGGTTTGCGCAGGACGTGGGCCAATTGGTGAGCCCCCCAAGCTGCCCCCAAGGTTTCTCTGGCAATGTAGCGAGTCCCTGCCAAATGGACCATACTGGACGTGTTGACCGAACCTCTGACACAAAAACAGGCCAGGGCCTCTTCAAACCCTGGTTTGTTGACCACTGGTGTTTAAGCATGATGTTTTGTTGTTTCCCCTGGCAAAAAAGCCAGAATACTGTCGACCCCGTAATAATAATCAACCCCTGTTTATTAATAGGGGGGTGTTCCCCGCCCAAGGTGGTCTGATTCCCCACTAAACCCAGGCACACCTCCCTATAAACTGGGGTTGATTAATATGGAGGTCAACACCTTGTGGTTGTGACAACATCTTACCCCTCGGAGAATCCTACAATCCCGGCCTTTGCGGGAACGCACCTTACTGCCATAGGACCTCCCGATGATCTCGTCATGGTGGAAGTTGCCAAAGCCTGCGATGTCACGAAGCGGACGTTTCACTGGGCTCAGAAAGATGGAGATCAACATGGCAAGGCGAAAATTCCTGCGGTTTGCCCTAGCTCTTTCATGTTGAGCCACGCCCATTTGGCCATGGGTCAAAAGCCAAATCGGTTAGCCCCCAGTCAACATCCGAATCCCCACTAAAATAAAGCCTAAAATGGGTGGTGCACCTACAGCCATTTAGGTTTTAGCCTCCTTCACAAGGCATAAGCGCCATCTACTTTCTCCCACTCCGAGACTTGAAGCCTCGCTGGCCACCCGAATCGGTGAATAGCCCCAGGCGTTTTCCGCCGAAGCCCCAACGCGTGTGGCTTGAACATGTTTGAGCCATGTTTGCTTGAACCACCATGCTTTCCCTTGAGCCTTTGGAGATAAAACATCCATATGCTTGCTTTCCCTAGATCCTCCTTCTTTGTTTTCGGGGGGATTCACCAAAAAACGAGTACAATCAACTCCTTTCTGCTTTCATCCCCCCCGTGCATCAAATGAGGCCGCACCCGAGGAATATCCAGTTTCTCTCACACTTTCAGGCCTTCAGGCCCTCTTGAGCACTCAACCCGCACGGTTCCCACGGTTCCCACGGCTTAACCCACGCCCGGAGAATCGCCGGCGAAACGAAGCAACACGAGAAACAAAGTCTGTCTTCCCAGCTTCCCTCTGATTGGTGGCTTGGATTGGTGGAAAGGGATGCTTTCTCAGTTACCCTAGTTCACATCCCCAAAACCACCAAACTAACTAAGTAGCTGATCTTCTGGCTAGCATGAGGAACCGGATGTTTTTCATCAGCCACTCTTCACCGCTGATCGCGGCGATTGTAAGTAGACTCAGAGATCTTCTGCCAGGCTCAAACGGGTCTTCCCCGTGCAGTGAAAGGTGTGGGTGGCTCGTCGTTTTGGATTTCGGGGGTTTGTTTGATTTCCCCTTACAACCACCAAAAAGGGGTACCCACTCACAAAACTACACCCCCATGTACACATTCCGCTTGGAATGCATGCAGTCGTGGGCGCTAGCCGCTAACCCCCGCCCGACCCGAAAAAGGGCTGGATCTTGAAATGGAAAACCCACTGGAGTTGCTGCCAACAGCAGCAACTCTTTTAGAGCTTTTACTTGCCCACAATTGAACAAAACAAAACTTTGCACCCCCCCCCCCCCCCCCCAAGTCGTCTGTCGGCTCGTCAGTCGATGTGGGTTTATGCGACCCTTGCGGGCCACCCCAACTTGCTCCTCAGATTCGTCTGTCTTTGTTGGATGGTACCCTTTTGTCGGGTCAAGGGACACCAAAAGGAAGACCAAATTCCATTTCGCAAAGTCCAAATCCGGAGAAAAAGAAGAAGTCCAAATCTCCAAAAAACACGCACCCCCAACCTCAACTTGGAATCCTTACCCATCGAGCAACCCATTCCATGACTCTCCCGACTCTTTATCCAGGGGCCCCCGGCGGTTGTTGGTGATCTCCCCGTGCTTCAGGACCACTCCGAAGATCTCATTGGCCGCACTTCGAACGGGAAAAATTGGAAAAAAAAATCCTGGGGCGCAGGAGAAACCAAAAAAAGGGGCTGCCACGGAGATCAAGATCACAGCCTGCTTCAAATGCGAGCGGATTTGTTTAAAAGTATGTCCAAGGCCTGGGTTTTCCATAGCAAAAGCTTCCGGTAGTTTGAAGGTGACATCATTACTGAAAGTAGATGACACAATGTTCTTTATGTGCGTAAGTACTGGCGAAGAATTGTGCCGTCCACTTTCACCCAACTGTACACAGGAAATTCGACTAAGACTACATCAAGGTTGGGAAAAACCACCCGACTTGCCCGCAAGACTGTGGACCCGCATGTGTCTGGGATGCACTATGTCGAAGGTAGACGGCACAGTTCGTGTTCTTTGGGCAAGGGGATGAACAAGCATTCAAGAATAGTCGCTGCTCCACTATCCATGATGGCCAGTGCACCTCCCGCCAAAACGTATGTCACTCCGTTCTCAGCCAAAGATACTGTGGATGGACCAAATCCTGCACCACTTTGTTTGCTTGTATTTACAGCGGACTCATCATTCCATCGTTTCCTAGCTGGTGCAGGATTTCGTCCATCCACAGTGGCAACGAGTGAACCAGGTTCCATCTTCCATGTGTTAACTCGCACTTGCGAAGGTTTGCCGCTTCTTCACTCGAGTCCCTACTTGTTGGGAATGCCTGATCCACGACCAAATGCCGTCAGGTGATGAGCCTCAATGGACACAGCGCGTTGTAACATGCCCAGTCAACTTGGCAACAAGCACCTACCTTTTGGGTTGAAAGCTCAAAAATGGCACAACAACCTTTGAGCATGACATTTGATTCTTGAGCCCTTGGTGGCACTACACGAAAAGCAAAAGCAGCAAGCCATTCTTCTTCTTCTCTTTCCTTTTTGTTCCGGGGGGGGGGATAAGGGGGGCTAGCTTCCTTATGTGTTCTTCCCATTGTGTTTTGCTTCTCTCTTTTTTGGGGGGGGAGGTTGGGGATAAGGGGATAAGGCTGGCTCTTAAGAAGCAGCCCAACGGCGCATGGTGGGGATGTTCTTTGGCCGCGCCTGGGTGTAGCTGCCCCAAAGGATCACGAAGTCCCCCTCCCGCGCACCTGAAACCATGGAAAAAGACTCGCATCTCAGGGGTCAAGAGGGCAAACCGAAGGGTCCGGGGGGATCGACCAGTGCTTTCCCATTGTTTACCTACAGGGTTGCCAACTTGGTTGTCTGAAGTACATGGGGTTTATCCTCCCTTCCCGGATTTTTTTGGCCGTCGGCCAAAGGTCAACAAACTTGATCCGGTTTTGGCACCCTCCAGAGCCACCCCTATATTGGCAACTGCCAGAGATATGGCCGATGTCTGTCCCAGTTGTGTCCCACCATTTCCAAAACTGGCAAAAAAAAGAAGAAAAAGACGGCCACATCTCACAGATACCACAGCCCTGGCCGTAGGCCAATTCGAGTGATATCAAGCAAGCGGCGAAAGCCAAATCCCCAAAACCGAACAGCTGATAAGGCTACGTCTGATGTATGATGTATCCAAGCAAACAAAGACTCCAAGAAACATGGAAACAAAGCACCAAACAAGCACACAATCACACCAACAAACAAAGATCCAAACAAACAAAAAACCGATCAACCAACCGACCTACCAACCGACCTACCAACCGACCTACCAACCAGACCAACGAAAGCAATGCTATTCTAAGCCAAGCGCAGAAACCAGCGAGCAAACAAAGTCAAACGAAGCAAACCAAGCAAACCGCCCAACTCAACCCAACTAGCCAACGCTTCCCATTCCTCTGGGTCCGCGGCACTCTTCGGACCTCAGCCATCCCAACTTAGGTTATCACCATGGTTGCAGGGGTAACTGGGGTAACTGGGGAACTGGGGTAACTCGGTTGTTGCAGGGGTCACTGGGGTCGGTCCCTCTTCTAACCTACTTACTTCGCTGCTGCGGCAAGTTTTCCGCCCTGATTGGCCTTCGACACCAATTAAAAACAGCTTGACTTTGAGGCAAAAGCTCAGATACTCCTGCTCACTACATAGGGGGTTGTCGCCCCACTGAACCCGAATCAGGTTGGCACTTGCACCTATCAGTCAGATGTGTTCTGAATGCGTACTTATTTAACTTTTGTATGAACAGTCGGCTTGTGCGTGGAAATCTCCCATTTGCTTGCTTGCTGCTTGGTACTCAGTTGCCCATTTGCTCAACCCCAAACTCCATCCAGAAGATCAAAACAAACGCAGACCTGCATGTTCCTTCTCGAAATGGGCCCTTGCTGTGACCAGCGAAAAAGACGGACCGTCTCGTGCCAAAATGGGGCCCTCTAAAAAACACAAAAAACAGCACGCACAATTTTGGGGTAGCATTTCGGCATTTCCGCCGGCAGAGAATTCCACCGGCGAAAGCAAGCAACGCTTGGAAAACAAGCAGCCCCAAGCAATCAGCCAAACAGAAGAAGCGGAAAAGAATCCGCCCGACACGTGTTCACCCACGACCGTGCAACTGACGGGTCCCTACGCCAACAGGCCTCCGGGTATATCCCAAAAACAGGGGACCCCTTTTTGCATGGTGAAGGGAAACCGAAAGGAGAACCCAACCACCAAGAGAATCTTGAGACAACACCCGCTCAGAACATCTGATGGCGCAAAAAAAAGGTACCATGTCACGATCTGAGTCCGTGGCGTCATAGCACGGGTCGCTCTGACCGTCGCAGTTGCTGTCTCCGGCTGCTTGCGACAAGTTACGTTTTATGTGGCTTGGATTGCTTGATTCTAGTAAAATACAGGATCAAAACAAAGTTGCCGTGTTTGAAATTGACACTTGTGCTGCTCTGATTCGGTATCCCCTCGGATGGTGCTGTACGGTGGCAGCAAGTTCCCTTGGGGGGTTCGTCGGCTGTGGTCGGCGCACTTGCTTTATACCAGATATCTGATTTGGAATCTGCTCTCTCCTGTGCCAAAAAGGGCTGAGCAGCGCCAGCGGAATGACGAGTCCTCTTTGACTTTGATCTTCACATCGCCAGGCTTCGGACAAATCATCTCTTCCTGTAGACTGACGACACCTCTTGCTCCCCAGATTAACATGGAAGCCCAAACGCTCCCTTGGATTCCATGTTCATTTGCCGAGGAGTAACACAAAGCCGCGTAAGACCAGCAAAATGACGGCACCCTTTTGGGCTTGTTTTGATGGGAAAACGAAAGGGTCCCTGCCAATTTTGGCGTTGACCCCCTTTTGAACAGACATGGCTATGGGTCAAAATCCCCTACCCCCAGTGAACATCCCAATCCCCACTAAAATAGACCAAAATGGGTGGTGTACTTACCCCAAAATGGGATCCTATTGGTTTTGATCCACAGCCATATGTTTGCACGCAGGTAGCAATAGTCGCCTCTCCCACTCCCTTCCCTTTCCCGGATCTCCACTTGGTCGCCGGTTTCGCTTGAACCCCCTCACTTCAACAACACAGGGCTCTCCTGAACCTTGCTGGTGCGATAGGCAGGGAATGAGAAATGACCCTTATAAACCATCCAAGTGGTGGTTTCCTTTAAAGGAATCCCTGGGTTCCCTCAATTTCCTCCTTCCCGAGCGATTTCGCACCCTTCATTCGGGAATGCTCGAAACGTGTCATTTCATTTCCTCAGTCCCTACCGATTTCGCAGCCGCAAGAGAAAACACGGCGAAAAGGGGCAAAAGAGTGCTGAGCACATAGGTGTCCTTTTAGTGGAAATAGATGGCCCTGGTAGATGATTCAACCACCAGGCAAATCCGGAATCGAAACCCATCCATTTCTCGAGCAAAACAACCAAAAGGGACACCTTTGGCTGAGCGTTTCCCCTTCCGCCCTTCGCCTTCCTCTCCGGATCGATCGAAGGGGTTCGGGCAGGCGCACCCAGACTGGGCCTTCTCCCAAGGCGTTTGCCTGGCTCGACCGTCCGATGAATTCTCCCAAGATGGCTGTGGCTCGGAACTAAATAGGAGGGGTGACGCAGGTTTTGGTCCATGTTTCCACTCACCAGGGTTCCAGTCTTGTAAATATAGGTCTGTCTTCTTTTTGGACTTGGACCCCAAGCTGAGTTGGTTTCTTGTTCAACCCACCCCAACAAAAAGGTACCTCTCGCCTCAGGCACGAGCCACCCATCGCTTCCCCCTTTTCGGGGTTTGCTCATTTGGCTGTGGCGAATTCAAAAAACCGGTAGGTACCAAAATGGGTTGCCCGATCGGTAAGTGGACACATGGACCAAAACCTGCGTTTTGGTAACCCCAGCTGTGTTCAATTTTCTGAGTCACACCCAAATTTGAGCCGAACCAAAGGAAGCGCAACCCACAGCGCCAGGCCCACAGCCCGCAGCTGGCGCCTCTTCTTGGGGAAGGGCTCGTGCAGCGGCTTCTCTTTGGCCCCGGGCCCATAGCCCTGGCACCGGGCCGGCCATTCGGGGCGGAGTTGTCAGAGCTGGACTCCGCCCTTCGAAAACATGGGCTGGGATCCGGGCATGATGCCCGGATCCAGAAAGGCAGACTGATTCCTTCAATCCTTCAGTCTCGAAATAAATCGTTAAGTTCCAACTTGGCCCCAGGGCCACTGTACATGGAACCAAGCCTTCCCCACAAAATCGCCTGGAGCTCCCAAAACCCCTTCGCCATCATTTTCGGGCCAGCAGCAACTTGACCCACTTTTCGGCCCAGGTGTTAAGCGCTGGAGCCAACCTGAACAAGTCGCCATGGAAACACTGGGAAAACCACAGGAACCCCCCCTTCCAACTTTCTAGCTGATTTCATCCTCCTCGGTAGCATGTCTGCCCCCTCCCCGCCTTGCCATCGATGATGTCGTAGCCTCTGCGCCTCTGCTCCTGGGCTCGCGCGCGGGCAGCCGAAAACATCTGACCCCTCTCCTGTGTCCCAAAGCCCCCGCGGCGTTGATTTCAGTTTGAGACTTTTAGCGACGAAACGAAGGAGACCCCGAGGCTTGATTCAGGTGTAGCCACTCAACGGGGGCTCGGAGTGGCTCAAGCCAGCCAGGCCACGTTTCGGCGGGCCGAAACGAGCCTTGCAAAGAAGCTTCGCTGGGCCAGCGGTCCATGCGACAACTCCTCCAGGTTGCAAACCCCAAAATCCAAATCGGTTAGCCCCCAGTTTTCACATCAACCAATCCAACCACGAAAATCCCCACCAACGTGGGTGCTGAATTCACCGAAAGCCCCCCAAAATGGGATCCCAGGACGGTTTTGACCACCACAGCCAGATGAGGTTTCGGAGCACGGGCACCCTCATCGCCAAGAGCTTGCAGCATCCCAGGGTCCTTGGAATGCACTGTCCACCCCAAATGGAGGATTAGGACCAAGTGGCAACCTTGGCGAACTCCAAAAAGCCTCGCCAGTCCCAACGCATCACCCAAATTCAGCAACCACCACCGAAAAAAGGCCCGAATCCTCCCGCAACCCCGGCAAAAAGCATATGGACCAGCTCTTCCATAACATCGACCAACTCCTCCTCCCACCGGGGAAAAAAAAAAGATGGCTGGCTTTTTGCCTTCGGGCGAATTTTCTTTGCCTCAGCTTCCGTCCCCTAAAAATATCATCGGCGACCGGGACCGATTCCTCGTAGCGCTCCGGCGCCACACGGTTCAGCAGCCGGGCCTGACGTTCCCGGGGGGGAAGTAGAGCCAAGCCACTGAAAGGCACCTGGAGAGTAGCTGGGTGTGCAATAGAACTCGGTCCTCCAGGTTTCTGTTTTGTCGATTTCAGTAGGTTGGAACCCTCCCCCAAAAAAAGAAACAATAAAAGGGCACCTAAGCTGGGGGATTTTAGAGAAGGTCCAAACAAAGCAATCAAATAACAAGTCCCGAATTGTTGGCTTCGATTTGCTGGGAAGCTAAAAGATGATGGTCGAGTTGGCACCCAGATATTCACTTGGAGTGGCTATTTGCACGTCAGGGCTTCTGATTTCATCCATGGCTTCCCTGTCCACGGACGAAAATGCCACAGACCCTTCCACATGCCACAGGCTCTTCTTCCCTCAAAATGGGCTCCACAGACCCTTCCACATGCCACAGGGTCTTATTCCCCCAAAAGTTGGTGGTTTCCTTTCCGGACCATTTGCATCCAATTTTCCACATGGGAAGATGGACCCGCCAGGTGTGAATTCTTCCCTTCGGTTTCCCCCCCTCCCCCATCGGCTGGACGGAGCCCTTCTGTGGGCTTCCTCCCAAGCGGAGACGAATTTTCGCCCAACCGTCGCTGCGCCAAAGTCCGGCTCTCCCAAAAGCAGTCCTTGGCTTTGGCCTGGGCGTTTTGTTGGGCCTTCTGAAAAAAAAGGAAGGAACAAAGCACCTGGCGGATCTCCGGGATTTCGCCATTGTTGGAAGCGACGAGCCCCAAAAAAGCCCCGGCCGGTGTTGGCTCTTCCGGCGCCTCCCGGATGTGGTCGCCCTTGATGTCCTGCGAAAGCCGACGCCGTGTAATTAGATTTTAGAGGCGAGAAGCACCTGGGCGCAAATCTTGAAAACGGTCCCGGACCCTTCGGTCCACAAACCCTTCGGTCCACAAGCGCCTATGTTACAAACAAACCAACACCAGTTTGAAGTCGCTTGTAAACGGAATGGATCACCATCCCTTTCTGCAGATGTGCGAATCCCCGAGGATGAATGACATTGAAGGACAAGGTCAAGTAAAGAGCCGTTTCTTTCCCATGCCTCATATTGGGATTTACATGTGGTTGTCTTTGTTCTGTTCGTTTTGTATCGGATGCGTCCGGATTGCTTGTTTGCTGAGTGGGCGTTCCCGCTCCACTGAGATATAAAATCCGGTTCCATTATCCCAAAAGGACACCGACTTGTCATGTCCGGCGGCTCTATTCACTTGTGTGTGTTTTTCGGGTCCAGAGCGGATGTCTTCTTCTTCAAAGGCATCGGAATCATGGAGTTTAAAAACAAAACAAAAATACTTCGCTTCGAGCAATCCCCACCCTCCACACTCACAAGCTTACGACCGTTACAACAAATTATTCCGCATCCTGGAGACTTCGACTCCAAATTCAAATCGGCCCTTTTGGACAGTAAGCAAAACCATACTGGCGAGCTGCTCTGGCGGGATATTGGCGGGATCCACTGGCGAATACTGGCGAGCCACGGATACTCGGCAGGATCCACCGGCAAGGGATCAGCGGGATACTTGGCGGGATCCACTGGCAGGCTGCTCTGGTGGGATGCTGGCGAGCTACTCTGGCGGGATCCACTGGTGAGCTAGTGGATACTCGGCGGGATCCATTGGCGAGCCGCTCTGGCGGGATACTCGGCGGGATCACTGGCAAGCCGCTCTGGCGGGATACTCGGCGGGATCACCTGACGAGCAGCTCTGGCGGGATACTGGGCGGGATCCACTAGCCAGCTGCTCTGGCACGATACTCGGCGGGATCCACTGGCGAGCCGCTACTGGCGAGCTCTGGCGGGATACTCGGCGGGATCCACTGGCGAGCCGCGCTGGCGGGATACTGGGCGGGATCCACTGGCGAGCCGCTCTGGCGGGATACTGGGCGGGATCCACTGGTGAGCAGCTCTGGCGGGATACTCGGCGGGATCCACTGGCGAACTGCTCTGGCGGGATACTGGGTGGGGGCGTGGTGTAGAAGCATCGCAAACGCGGATTCCAACATAAAATCTAACAACCCCTTCCTGTCGGGTGGGGAAAAAAAACGCGGAGCTTCCACCACCCTCCTCTCAACTGCTCTTTGGTTTCCCCAGCC